AACTGTCACCACAGATAGTTGACACACTAATGTTATCTGCCAACTGTCACCACAGATAGTTGACACACTCATGTTATCTGCCAACTGTCACCCCAGACAGTTGACACACTCATGATATCTGCCAACTGTCACCAGTGACAGCCAACACACTCATGTTCCCTGCCAACTGTCACCAGTGACAGCCGACACACTCATGTTACCTGCCACAATGGTAGCACATTAACGTCAGCATCCACAATGTTTACAAATTGTTAACATGATCACTCAAGTCTACAAATGGTGGGCATGGTAAACAAAGCTGACAAACTGCGATCATCGGCCGAGTCTGGAAACTGATCTTACTCAAGTCTACCAATGACCGTTATCATGAACAAAAAGTAGCTAAATTGCGAGTCCTAAGAGTTGTTGCCCCTGGCTGAGTCGACAGCATCCAGTAAGTTCTTGGAGTCCATGGCGAGCGCGTGGGCAGACTTGAGCATGCTCTTGCGGTAGTCGGTGAAGAGAGGAGAGTGGCAGTTCTGCTGGGCTAGGCGCATGGCGTTGATGAGAGAGCCCATGTCGGTGGACAGAACTTTCTGGGCCATTTCCACCTGCGGGAGACACACATGAAGTAGGTCAAGTTACGGTTTGTTTTATGCACAAATTTACCACACTATGGGGCACAAGTTTACCACACTATGGGGCACGCACAAGTTTACCATGCTATGGGGCACAAGTTTACCATACTATGGGGCACAAGTTTACCACACTATGGGGCACAAGTTTACCACACTATGGGTCATTATATTATGATGTACCGATGGACGGCCGGTAAACTATTCTACATTCTGCGCCATTGACAATTTCTGTCCCTCTACACATCACGTGAAATTGACACTCAGTGAGCACACGGGGGAAGACAGCGAGATCCGCTCACCCACGGGGCTCCCTGCGATGGGTCCCGGCTATATCCTGGCCACCAGCCTCACTGGATCACTTGTGTCCTCGTGTCGGATAGATACCGGATCACTTGTGTCCTTGTGTCGGATAGATACCGGATCACTTGTGTCCTTGTGTCGGATAGATACCGGATCACTTGTGTCCTTGTGTCGGATAGATA